TTTTCGACGTTCCTTCGCACAACAGTGTGATCACCCCCATAGTGTACTTCCCTTTCAAGTGAAAAATTACATCAAAATAAGTAGATTGGGATGTATGTATGGCCCATTGATTTGGCTCAAGGGTACACCGGCACCAATGGAAAAGAGAATGATAATTCTGCGCAGTGTACATCTGTATAGTGACATGGGGCTATGATCGATCTCCCTGTTGCAAAAAATGTTTGGCGGCACACTAATTGTATGAAACGCCTTGGAGTCAAATGCCAACCCGAACGAATCCACGAACTGTATGAACAAGGACTCAACGTGATGAAACGTAGTTTCCTTCCTCTATCCCCCTCGCTTACCTTCTTTTCGAGGAACAAACGTCTTGTTTGTGCTTATGGGGTAATCCACACCAGATGTTGAGCTTTTCACTTAACACAGGAAAAAAAAAAAAAAAAAAGACAGCAATGGCAACGACATTGTCGATAGGGATAGGGATAAAATCGAGAACCGGTTAAGCGCGATAGAGGCCCCTTGGGGAGCCAACGCCAAGTTGTTCACACCCCACACGTGTCCAAATTAGTGATGAAGCAGGAGTGCGAAGGATGTGGAAAGAAATGTACAATGCTTTTCGCATAATATATGGATAGGAGTGAACTGTCTGCCCAATTCTACTAAGCCCTGTTGCGCTTTCGCACCTTCACGCCCATGTTTGCACGGGCATGCATTTGCGAGGCACACATGCTATGCTCATTTGGCCCATCCCTCGAAGGGTTTAGAAACGCACTACGCCTCGTTGCACGGGTGCAATGTGTAGGGGCGTAAACGACCTAACAAAACGAACTAAACGAACAAACCGAGAAAAATGAACAAAATGAACAAAACAGAGCAAAGCAATATAGAGAGGCCGGACCAGCGGGGAAGTAACGCTGTGTGTTATGCACGTTGTATCGTTCCACTGTTGCCTCTTCAAATTGGGGTTCGCGGTTTTTTACTTGTTCTTCAGGATTTTGGTCGTCCGATTTGGGCCCCCCTCTTTCTACCGCCCGATCTGTGACGTTTCTTTCTTTCTGCATATTTTGCAAAACCGCGGGGCCGCCACCCGCTACGCCCCATGAAATGCGTCTTCAAAGGTCTCACTTGCGATCTCGACGCTCCCCGCCTAGCAGCGCTTAATGTTATACCGGCCCGGTTGCATAAACACCGGCATGACTTCGTCCACCAGCTGATCAATCTCTTCCTTCGCGGCTTCATAGCTGCCCCTTGAAATCTCACTGTACCACTTCACCTTGGGTTCCGTTCCACTAGCCCGTATGGTAAGTATGGCGGTGTTTTCAAACTTCAGGGTAATGCTTTGCGAATCGGGCGTAGGCGCAATTAGGGATTTCCCATCCGGGGTGCTGGAATCGTATCCAGTGGTTAGGTCGCGTATGTGGACGACTTTATAGGAACCCAATTCAGTTTTGTAGGAGCCGTTATTTCTGAAATCATTAAATATGCTAACCACATGACTGGGGTCCAAAACGGTGTAGTAACCATTATTACTTACAAAGTAGCCAATTTCTTTTCGAATATTTTCTAAGTACTCATGAAAGGTCAATCCATTTTCATATAAATAAACGCCTATTTCAATCCAGTACGCTAGAGCAGATATGCCACATTTGTCTCGTACGTGCTTGGTTAAAGCGTGTCCTAGGGCTTCCTCATAGCAGTACAAAGTGGTATAATTTTTCTGACTCAGATCTATGGCCTTATTTATGAGCCACTTAAAACCAGTTAGCGTTTCATCGTACTTGTATCCATGCAATTCACATAACTTTTTTAGCATCCTTGAGCATACCACTGTGCAGATAAAGACATGTTTGGACTTGTCGATATTTTTTTTCTCATTCTGCTTCATCAAATGATAGGCAAATATTATTCCCAACTCGTCCCCAGAAAATATCTTCCACCTGTTGTTAAATTTTTCTGCACAAGCGAATCTGTCTGCATCGGGGTCGTTTGCAACGACTATGGGGCTATTCACCACATCGGCTAGTTGCATGGACAAATTTAGTGCACCCTTCTCTTCAGGGTTTGGAAAAGTAACCGTAGAAAAATCCGCATCAGGTAGGGCCTGTTCAGGCACCGTCAGTAAATTGTTATACCCAACGATGTGCATGACACCTTGGACAAATTTTCTCCCAATTCCATGCATGGGGGAGTATACTATAACCAGTTTTGTACGTGAATTCCTATGGCAGTTAAAATTAAATTCGCTTTTCATGTCAGACATAAAGGAGTCGTACATTTCGTAGTAAATGTCCTCCACTAGAGAGGTGTCCTTCAAGTAAAAATTTTCATCTAAATAATCATACACTTCACTCCATGGTTTTAAATTGCTTAATATACAATCGGAGATGTTCACATCCACAGGTGGAATTATCTGGGCCCCATTTGCCGCATACACTTTATAACCATTGTCCAACTTGGGATTGTGAGAAGCTGTAACCATCACCCCACACAAACAGCTTTTTTTAAAACTCGAGTAACACAATATAGGTGTAGCAACTGTTTGACCAAATAGGTAGACTCGAAACCCTTTCGATAAGCACACAGATGCTGCTACGTGCGCGAAGGACTCTGAGTGATATCTTCCGTCGAAGCCAAATATGATGCCCCTATTCTTACACAAATTGATTCCGTACGTGTTAATTAAATAGGTACACAATCCCTGCGTCGTTTGCATAATTGTGACAACATTCATTGCATTAAACCCGACTCCCATTTTCCCCCTTAGACCAGCTGTGCCGAAATTTAGTCTCCTCAAAAACAAACGTTTTAGTTCTTCCTCATTATACGTAGATAGCGCTTCTTTCGTTTCGTCGGCTAAATATTTGGGCTTCCGAAATAGGTTCCACAATTCAACAGACACCGCAAGTTGTTCATTTTGTATTCGACTCATTTTGAGGTTTTTCTTTCTTTTATCCCTTCAAAAATTTTTCACGGAAAGAAAAAAAAAATTCTCGAAAAAAATGTAGAGCTGAGAAGTAACCAAATCAGCGCGTAGAAAAATTATGAGATATGGTAAATTAGATGTATGCCTTTTTTGAAAAAATAGGAGCATTAAAAAAATTCCCCAAACTTCTTCAATCCCCGGTGAAAAGAAAAAACTAATTTGAGCCTTTCGATCTTGTTCTCATCTTTTAGGAGGGTAGAAAATTTAAACTGTTTGCTAAGAAACCGTGGGAAAAATAAAAAAAACAAAAAAATGAAAAATGCTGGATAAGTAGAAAAACGCATATAAGCAACTAAGTGCTTGGCTATTCATAGGCAAAAAAATTCTGCTCACAATTTAGGCAAAAGAAAAAAAAAAAAGGGGCTAGCTGTGCCTACTTTATTATCATTGTGAACAAAAAATTACCTCAACGGTTCAGCTGTCATACAGTTTCTGCACCGCCAATTTCGGCTAATTTACGTTGTCAATTTTTCCCAATAGTGTTGATGTTTACATTCTCTACACTTTATAAATGTGCGTAAAATTTACACCAGAGGAATGTCTTTTTTAATTGAAGCCCATTTACCCAAAAGTTTGTGCCAGTAAAATCGTTTAGCATGTGTAAATACACCACTTTGTAGAAACGTTCTATCTGTCACTTCTCCGATGAATCGACGGATATGCCCAGGCGTCCATGCACGTATACACAGGACAAATTTGACAAGAGAAAATACAATAGCACGCTTATTTCTATTATAGAATGTACTGTCAATTAAATGATGCCAATAAAGTTGCTCAGAAGCTCTCCCACACTGCGGCGTTAAAGTGGTCTACCAATTTATGGATATTTCATTTTATTACTTTTTTGTAGCATCCGAGGAAAACATAGGTCTATGATTTTTACAAAAATGCAATGTGCAGTTTTGTGTGCGTGCATTTTTTTGTTTAAACATTAGGGGA